TTTGGCCGCACCGACCCAAGATTTGTGGCCTCAGCGCGCGCAGTCAGAATTTGATCGATCAGCTGCTTTTGAATTTGTTTGTGCTGGGTGCATCATGCTGACTCGAGGCCGATATGGGTTTTATGTGAGTTCAACTTCGAACCGTCATTTTCTTAGGCCAATGAAAATCCTGCAATCGGTGTCAAAGCACAAAACCTTCCTGGGAAGGGACCGAATGTTGTCACTAGATCCCGAGCAGCCCTTGGAGATATCAAAAACAAGGGTTTAGACCATGGAAAGGAACACAGCACTCTGAAAAGCTTACTGAAACCAGTTGCACCAATTTCAAGTATACCTTTTTTGTGGGCGTTCACCTGCTTTTTAGAACAACGGGCATGTGATATGAGCATTGATGAGGAAAACCTCAAAGTCAACCCAATCGCATCAAAGCAGTTGGAGGAACTGCGGGCGTTTCGTGAAGGACGTCGTGCTACTCGTTCTCACTTTTTATCCACTGATAACGGATCCAAGTTTATTGATATTGAGAATCAAGATTTTGGTGATACGGCCACTGTTTATCCATATGCCGAGATCATTTTTAACTACCTCCAAAATCGCGAGCTTTCCATGCAACCATTGTGTCCTGATTTTATGAAACCTCAAGGGGAGGTTAATCCCCGGATGCGTTATATACTTGTAAACTGGCTTGTACAAATCCACCACAGTTACAAGCTTCAACCGGAGACGCTTTACTTGTGTGTCGCCTTACTTGACAGATACCTTCTGGTCAGTCGCGTTCACGCTTCTCATCTTCGCATTACAGAAACACGGCAGTGAACTAACGAAAGACTGTTTCCAACTAGTGGGTATTGCTTCTCTCTTCATAGCTGCCAAATTCGAAGAGATGTACCCTCCTGATATCAGTGATTTCACTGCGGTAACTCACAACGCTTTCACGAAAGCAGACATTCGAAATTGCGAGCAAACTATTCTGCAGTCGATTGATTTTTATCTATCTATCCCGATTCCCCTGGTACACCTGCGCCGATTCTCAAGGGCTGTTGATGTTAGTTTCTTGTATATTCCATAACTGAGTGGTTTAGGCTGATCGGACGATGCACAACCTTGCCAAGTACCTATTGGAGTTGACCATTCAAGAGTATGATCTCGCTTATCTTCCTGGAAATTTGAGGGCTGCCGTGGCATTGTGTCTTTCTCGCGCACTTTGCCATCAGACGTCCAACCTTGAGGAGGCCTGGTGCGACGTTTTGGAGTACTTGAGTGGTTATTGTCTAGACGACATACGCGAACCCCTTCGGATTCTGGCAAAAGCAGCATATCGTCAAAACTCTCCATCCAAGTACAGGGTAAGCTGATCGATTGTTCTCTGATCTTTCAGGCCATCTTCGAAAAATACCGTTTAGACGACTTTTACGGCCGTGTGGCCTCCCTTCCTCAGCTCCGATCGTGCCTCATGGAAACACTCGCTGATTTGAAATTTGACAGTGACGGTGAGCTGAATCCTGCGTGAATATGAAAACAGGAAATTATCCCAGTCGCTACTTCGATGACAAACTCGTGTAATGATTTGTTCTGTCGCTTATATGTACCTGTCGTCGGTGGCATTATTTTTCAACCTCAATTTTGGTTCCTGTGAGATGAGACCGGCTAATCTCATGTCCTTAAATCAAACGTGTATTTTAATTGTAATCCCTGTCCTTCCGTACCTATAATTTCAATACACGATTTGTAAGGTCCTTTCATTATTTGTTACATGGGAATTGCGGTTGGTATTTAATGCAGTCCGCTGGCGTTTAAGGCTGCGGTGCTGGTCCAGTGTCCAGTTTGATTGTAATACATTTAGATTAACGATTGCCATTTTAGTAACACAAAGCGGTCGTCGGTATTGTCTCATTTTTCACGATGTTAAGTCGACTACAGGATCCGGTAGATCCCTTCGTAGTTGTGGTTGAAGTCTAGGTGAATTTGGGGTGCAATGTGCCTAATTGAGGACTTGTGAGTAATCTTTGATTGCAATGCTTGAGGGTCCGACTCGGGACGACGAACGACCATAGAAATAGTCATTTCATTGGTCTCAACCTTTCTTGATGAGCATGGATTGTTCGGCTTGGTCAAATTATCCGACGGGTTGTAGTGTTCTGGGTTTATTGTTTCACCCCCTTGCTGGGGTCGATCGTTCTTCCATTCATCATAGTTCACCTGAGGAATAACAATATCACTGCTGGCTACGTGTCTACCGAATTCTTGCCTTTATAGTCAGTAGTTAGGCAGTTTGTCCTTGGGACCGGTACTCGTTTTGGGTAACAATCATGTGCTGGCATCTAACTAGCCTGTCATAATGACCCGTTACGTCTGCTTGCGTTTTGCTCGCCTTCATTTGTTCAGTTCTTACTACATTAACCATGCACTCACGTGCGGCGGTTTTGGTTGCCCATTTGGATGCAGGATGAAGATAAGAATTTGTACTCAACAGGACGGTAGACAAAGCTAAAATTGTTATACTAAAGAAGTCTAGTGAATAAAGTTTCATAAAAAATCTGTCGTATCTTTCAGATCGAAGGGTGCTTTGATTCATCCATTCGCTTCCGGATTCTCTTAATTGATCCCGAGTGTCTTTACTTAACGTCAAATTTGTAACCAGTATCGTATTGCTATTTAAGCAAGAGTTGAACTGAACTGAACATCACTTGGTGCATGTAGGTAAGCCTTGAGACCTTTAGAGTTCGCGTGCGGTATAAAACACGAGCTCGCTAGTATTGCCGCAAGAAATCGGTAATTGTGATAGTCTAGTTGAATATGAAAACTGGTAAGTGAAGTGTCAGCCAACGAAGGTCTCCGTTATCGTCCACTGGGTTGACGCATCTGTCGCATTCGAGGGAGTATTCTTTAGGATATGCCGGTTGACAAAGTTGAAAAGGATTAGGTATTCAGTGCGTTCTTCGCTAGAGGCTGCGAAAAGTGGTGAGAGCCGACCCGCCCTGAGGTGTAATGATACATAAAGTTTTATCGCCTGTCGTGTGGATAGTAATTGTCGTTTGCCTCACCTAAGATTGACAGTACTGTGGTAGTTGTCGAAGGTGAAGGCTGGATGGAAGCATCCACGCAGATTGCCCCTCGCGTCTACTGTACAATCTGCCTAGAACAGGTGTTAATGGGATTGAGCTAGCACGCTGGTGGTCGACGTAGTCACTGCGCGATACCCAAACACATGACCAACAATCGGATGATGATACTTTGGAGAACAATATAAACTTCTCGTACACGCTTTATTCTGTCGTCTTCAAATTGACCATTGGATCCCGGCACGTTCCAGGACTTTGGTCGCCCGAAATTTTCAGCTCAATATGGGTCTGTTGAAACTGACCATGTAACGCGCGCCACTGAAGCTCTAAAAAAGGCTAACGCGAATGACCCTGCTGAAATGTTCTTCTGAAGGTTTTGCTCGGCGTAAAAGGCTCCAATTTCGTTCGTAGAGTTGAGTCTTCAGATTCAAGAATCGCTCCATCAACAACTTCCGTTTTCCTAATCGGGCGCTATGAAACATGGAGGCCACATGATTCCGCGTGGTTTAACGTTCAGTTCGTATCTTAGCACCAATCACGTTCTGTTATAATTGCTGCCCGCCTGTATGGGTCGGCCTCAAGATACTTAAAGGAAATCCTGAGGTCTCGACACGACGTATCGGACCAAAAGCAAGTTGACCAGCAGAATGCAGAGCTTTCTCCAGTAACGAGCAATCCTGATGGATCTCGGGTTTGAAAAAACGGCCAGGAAAGCTTATCGCACTTTGACTGTCTCTTAGTTATGCGCTTCGAACGCACGTTAAAGCTCATTCACGGTTAGTTGCGGGTTAGGGTGTGGTTGGGATGGAAGGTGCTCCTCTACGATCCACTTGCTCCAGTGGGCGACCGCGATTATCTAAAACTACGCTCAAATTCAGCTGTGATTGTCCGGCTGCCCCACCAGATTCGTGCAATGCTGCGCAGACAATGGTGTTCAAACTCCGACAGTCAATCTTTATCCTGTTTCCTTTATAACCAAGCTTCTGCGCTGTATAGCACAACTAACCGAAACGCTGCCGGATGCCGCGGCGGCGCCACAGATGTCTCAAGTTGGCAAATGCCAACCGAGCACTCTGTATGCGAGCTCACGGATGAAGTCTCAGTGAGCATACTTTTGAGTCAATGGCTTCGGCTACGGTTCCGGAAGAAAAACCCTTTGTCAGTGTTGGCTACTGCGAAGTATGTCGTGGCGTAAAGCCTTAGCACCCATTTGGGAAAACCTCCCATCTCTCGTCCAATCTGATGGACGTGGATTCTGAGAGACTTGGAATCTCGTGGAGATAGGACTCGAGGGAAGAGGCAGGATTTGTTTTGAGGCGCTGCTATTGGTACGATTGTCTGGGGTTCCCGGTGAAAGTGAACGTGGTAATAGTGAAGTATATTGGAGTTGAAAAAGAGGGTGGGTTCGGTGTAGTTTATAGTCGCAAAGTTCAGTTTTTTACAGTCATTCATGCGTTGGTTGCTCATTTGGATGAAGGGTGGAATCTTCAGATCATTTTAAGAATGAAGATGAAGGAGAAAGCTTTGAATATGGAGTGGTTAATGCAAGGTTAGCAGTAGCATGCATCGTGTGTTGCCCCTGACCAAACCAAAGTAGCCCTAGTTCAGGAGTTACTAGTTTAGATAGCTAACACTATCTACGATAACCAAACACGATTTACCTCAACAACCGAGTATGACAAAGAGCAATACGACTATTGCTCCGGACGAGTAAGAAGACGGATAGCTCGTGACCAACGGTTTATAGGATCAGACCTGCAGTGAAAGGTTTACACGTGTAGCGATGCAGCGTGACTCACCGGGACAAGTGACAATTCCGCGGTTGAGCGTAAACAGGTAAGGTGCACCCGGTAAAACAAAAGCTCGTAGCGAGTAGAAAAGAAGTCGTAGGTAAAAGGTGAAAGTGGCGTGTCACTACACTAGTATTTGCTCGAACTGCAAGGTAGCCACCTTGTTCAAGCTGAGCTGGTTGACCACTTCTTTTGGCGAACTCTTACGGGTAGATGAAAATCGACAATGGTCAGTGGCGGTGTCCAGAAGTATTTTGTATCTTGTGCGGAGAGCCCTTGTAAGTTGGTAGACCTGATTACTGTTTCTGGTCGTCTGTGACCGTTCGTTAAGTAAGCCCACGTACATCTTATTCAGGGCTAACCGCTAGTCGGCAGCCGTTTTCCTTTCCACCACCGAATGGAGAGCTCGGCAACATACAGTGCTGTTCTGGCTAAACAGCCGGTCTAACGCTAATGCGCTTGCTGCGCTACTACTAGCTGAACCTCTGTGTCACTTCCAAATGGCAATACTTCTGTCTGTGGTCATCGTTTCGTGCTCGGCTCACTTTTTGGTTTCACCTAGCTGTCTCTTCAAACTGCAACAGTCAACCCGGAAAACCCTCTCCTTAGGCGGACCGAAGCAGAGTTACTCAGTTAAGTACTTTTTCTGAGTAACATCGACATAGGAATAGCTCTTGTTTTCCAAAAAATACTCGGTTTGGGCATCCCTCAGCCAATAAGGTGCT